ATTAATATGGGTATATCTTAGAGGTCTTCTAGATACCCTTGACAATACATATTATTTTCACAATCATCAATATATTCATTATGAATTAATCATTCAAAATTATCATTTTTAATCAGAATATTTATTAAGATTTAATCATCATAATTATCAATCAATAATCATTACCATAATCATCATATCAATCAACATAATATTCAATAACAATTAGCGGCCTAGCTTCGGGTGTTAACACCCTAACTTACCGTCATGCATCACATAACATTTTATTTGTTAAAAATATTACTTTTAATGTGAAAAATCATTTTTATAATGATCATAATCAATTGGTATCAAAAATAAGATTTTAGAGCTCAAAAATAACATTTTCAGACAAATTTTCGGATCAGAATTTCGGGGGATCGATCCAGCCCTCTGGATCGATCCATACTATGAAAAATTACTCCCAGGGGATCGATCCAAGCCCCAGGATTGATCCAGACAGCGGTGTTTCAGCCACTGTTCATCTTCTTCTTCGTTCGGGTCCAATTTCGGAAATACCGTTTTTAGTTATCGAACTTCAATGAAACTATATAGAGATGTTCTCCAAGGTTCATAGATCATTTTGGCATCATTAATTCATAGTTTTAACATCAATTTCATGGTTTATGATTCTTGGTTCTTCAAGCATGTCAAACACAAAACTCAACCAAACGACCGTTTATGAACGTAGGAACGATCTATACGAACATTCTAGTCATTAGATATATCTACGGGCTTACCTCGAAGGTAAATGAAGGTTTTGAATATTTTCCGGCGAAACTTCCGGCGACGATAGCTCTCAACTCCGGCGACCTCACACCAATACGACAGCACCACCACGTTCTCCTCACTCCCAGCAACAGAATAGAATGAAGCTTTGTAAGAAATGGTGAAGAATGGAGGGAGTTGTGGTAGTCTTTTATAGGAGAAGGAAGAGGAAGAAGACACGGTGATGACTCCATTCTCCTGTTTTGGCGTCTCAGTGGAGCGGACGGCCTATCTCTACAATTCCAAACGCAAGTCCCTGATTCGGACTAATTTGGTCCCAGTCGGGGAACACTTTTTGGTCTAACTTTCTCCGAATTGAAATCCGTTTGCACCGTTGTGATCGTACATTTAAACTCTATCCAACGATATAATTTTTATATTTATTTGTAATACTTTTTCCGACATCATATTTTTGGGTGTTTGACTTTGACAGAGTCAAAATTGATTTAATTGACCTTTACTCAAAAAGGTTCTTACATTTCATTCATATTATTTATTCTCATGATTTATTTCAATAAATCATTNAACTTTCTCCGAATTGAAATCCGTTTGCACCGTTGTGATCGTACATTTAAACTCTATCCAACGATATAATTTTTATATTTATTTGTAATACTTTTTCCGACATCATATTTTTGGGTGTTTGACTTTGACAGAGTCAAAATTGATTTAATTGACCTTTACTCAAAAAGGTTCTTACATTTCATTCATATTATTTATTCTCATGATTTATTTCAATAAATCATTTCAAAGTTCATATCATAAATAAATTTCTTAATTTATCCTTGATTTGGGTCTGTACTCAGGTTCTCAATCAAGGTCACACAATAAATCAACATGTTGGATTTATCTCTATGAGATTTATCCCAATTATGTTTATTGGATATCAATATATATTTTATTTCAGTCCAAAGCCCAACACCAATTTATTTTAATCAAAACAAATTTTGTTTAATTGAATATTTAATTCAATAAATTTTAGGGTATATTTTGGGGCGTTACATGTAGATTCAATTCCTCATATATTATTCTTTTTACTTTGCCTTTCTTTTCTGTGTTATTATAAATCATGCAGAGGTATATTTCCTTTATTCGGGAAAAAATATTACATTGAATAAATTAAGAATCGATAAGATATTCGTCCGAACCCGTGCGTGGCACGGGTAGGAATACTAGTTGAAGAAAAGAAGAGAGTCTGGGCCCAACATTGGATTTGATCCCATTTGCATTTGTCAAAGTCTCAATCCATTACAAGTAAAAGTTCAAATAAATGAATAAAAAAAAGAAGAGAGACTCCGTAGATGGGAACCATAGAAGACCGCATAGCGAAAGAAACGAAGGAGGCTTCCTTCCTCAAATCAAACTTCAATTCCCATTCCCAATCCAAATTGAAGACTAAAGCTTGGAGGACTCATGTATAAAAGAGGCAAATATCGACCAGAAAGGGGGGGACGGATAGAGACGAGAGAACAGATCGGAGCAGAGCAGATGCCGACCTAGGGTTCCGACCCTAGGTCTGGCGACGGCAATTGCACAGCGGTGACGACGACGGGAGGTCTGGACGGCGACGGCAAGGCGAGATCGATGCTTCGGTGATCTAGCTTCTGTGCACTATTCGGACGAACACAGAAACTCAAGGGAGCAATTTTCTCCTTTTTAATTTCATTCTTTAATTAAGACTTTCCAGTTTATAAGTTTCTCAATTTATGAATTTGATTGTCAGTATTAAATATGTTTATTTTCAATTCCATGTTTGTTGATTGTTTAAGTTATATTATAAGTGTTGAATTGTTTATTGATTTATTATTGTCTCTGAAATTATAAAATCTTCTTAGCCCAAATTATTTGATAAAAAGATTGAAACTTTGATTTGGTCATTTTTGTTGGATTAATTTGACTTTGAAGGAATTTTAGCCTTTGTGCTACTCTCAAATCTAAACTCGAAAAGGTGTTTGAAAATATGTCTTTGTTTAAACTTGGATTAGATCAATTTAGGACGGCCGCCTAAACTCTAATTCGAATTGACAGTTTTAAGATCTTGAGTACGTTTATAGCTGAGATTTTTAAAACACAAGTGTCAACTGGTAAATACTTAATTGGCTCCCACCCGGTTTTTATTAATCAGAGTTTTCAAGCTGGCTATGTTAAATAGATATAGTCTACTGCATAGTTGTTAAGTGATGTTTTCCAAAGAATTTAATGCTCTATTTTTAATTAAATCTGGGGGCAGGTCCTTGGGTTGTTAAGAATAGTAGGGTCTAGAGTTAGGGCATGTCTTAACATAGGCTATATTAGGGAGAATAGGGAAGAACCGCAGGTGGATCTCTTCTTCAGCTTAACCCTGAGTTTAATTAACAGTTTAGTTTTAGGATTAAGACATAATCAATTGATCAATCAGATTTGTTCACTTTATTTTCTATTAAAAACTATAAGTATTTTCAAAATGGTTTAAGTTAATTATTATTGTCTATGTTATTATAAAGTTTATTGTGTGATTGTTTTTGTGTGTTTGTTTCTCCCTGAGTGTCTTCTGAGTTCGAGTTGCTGTTGTGGTTTCATTTCGTATCTCTTATGTGTTATCATTATCTTTATTTTATTTGCATTTTTATCTTTTTCGAATTGTCATGCAAACCCCCCATATCTCTTAGTTTTAGTTTTAGATTTTCGTTAGTTTTTATTCAATAAAAGTGACAAAGTAAATTGATTTTCATATCCTAAAAAGTATCTTTCCTCGTGGGATCGACCCTTACTTGCCCTATCTATATGTTTTGATGAATATTGAAACATAAAGTGGGTTAAAAGTTAAGGAAATAATAAATTAACTTGTAGGTGCTACGACACGCCTAACAACTGGTCATTTGATGAATCGGCTTGCATGCATGATCAGTTGGGTAAAGCGTGTGCACGGGGTTCGTAGATCTATTCATGGATGTGAGTTGGTGGTCCCACTCAGCCGACATTGGATGACGTTGTATCGGGCGAGTTCTTCCATGGATGTGGTTGAATAAGGACTCCAGAAAGAATAAAGATTTGGCCTTAGCCTAGGATATGTTATGAGCTTAAAACTAAGAAAGATTATTTATGAGCTTTGCATATGGATTTTGCGTCATAAATGCCTAAGTTGCGAATGACATAAACTTGGTAATCTATGTAAGTAGGTTTGATTTATGGGTTGTTTGATATTACTGATATTATTGATGTTGTTCTTGTGTGCACGATATTGTATGAAATTATGAGCAAGTGAGTTCATCTATATGCATAGTCAAAACGATAGATATTTCACACTTAGCTTCAACGTTGTACGTGTAGCCATTTTTCCTCTTTACTACATATAGGTAACAGGAATAATGATGAATAAGGAACTAATCTTGGAGGACAGCGAGGATGAGGGGATGGATGGATGCTGCCTAAGGATTTTGTTTAATTAATATTTAACTTTGAATTTATTATGTTTCTGGGCAAAAACCTAGAATTGTATTTTGATTTAAGAACTTAAGCTTCTAAACTGTTTGTTAACCCTGATGGATGTTTTAAAATTGTTTTGAAATAAATGTTTTAAATTGTTTTAAAAATTATTGTGTTTGAATGTTAATTTGGTGACAAACCGATCGAGTGGTTCTTGTATTTGGGTCTAGCGGGTTGGGATGTTACATTTTGGTATTAGGGTAAATGGTTTTAAAATTAGTCTTCAGACCCGTTCCAAGAAATGAATTTCAAATATAACTTGGATTTTGTAAAAGGGTACTTCAGCAGCTGCATGGACACCTCTCGCAACTCCTCTGTCCCTGAAGAAAATTAGACTTATTGCTTGTCAGTTATATGTTAGCATATAATTACGAAAGCTTGATTTGATTAGAATGAGCGGAGCTTTTAACAACCAAAACAAGACCCAAAACATGGATCATAATGTGGAGGCTCAACCAGACCTAGTTATTCCTACGTTTTTAGGGCAATTTTTGCAGCAAATGGAACAATCACGGATGTTTCAAGCACTGCCTCTAGCGCCTCTGAGGGAAATAACTTTGAAGACGTTGAAAGACAATGGAGTTGAAGAATTCCTTGGGGATAAGATCTCTGACCCCTAGATCGCACTAGACTAGATTGAGCATACAAAATGGGTACTAAGGAATCTGAATGTTCCAAATCTAGATCGCTCTAATCACGCATTCTAGCTCCTTTGAAAAAGAGTATATGAATGGTGGAAACACACTTATGAGACTGCACCCTAGCCCTGGACGTGGGAGTACTTCGATTGGGCTTTCAAGAAAGAGTACATTCAAGCTCATTTTAGAGAGAAGAAGTGCACTGAACTCATGGAGTTGAAACAAGGAGACATGACTCTCCCCGAACTACGACAGAGTTTTGACCATTTGGCACAGTTTGTGAATATGCTAGTATCCACACAAGTAGATCGTATTGAAGAGTTTTGCAAAAGGTTGCGCCCTGACATTCGACCATATGTATCAATATTGAACACTACAGATTTCTCTAAATCTTACGATCTGATGGCCAAAGCTGAGAAGGATGTCGATGATTACAAAGCTAGTTTGAAGGCGAAAGAAGCTGGGCCAAGTACGCACCCAACTGTGTGTGCCGCGCCGAGTGCGAATAAGCCATTAGGTGAGACCGGTAGAACCTCTCAAAAGGTAAGACCATCCTGATTCAGTCAGCGCCAGCCCAGCCTGTGGCGTCTAGTGGTAAGTCGAAGACTTCTAGTTTTCCGCCATGTGCTACCTGCGGAAGGACAAATCCAGGCGAGTGTTGGTACGATCAGGGATTGTGTCTAGGTTGTGGGCAGGCTGGCCACTTCCAAAGAAACTATCCCACTAACCTGAGCACTACCCATGTGCAAGCAACACTCGTAGTCAAACGAACGCACCGCAACCAAAGCAAAGTCAACATATGAGTGCAGAAACAAATCAACAAAGAAATCAGAATCAACAGCCAAAACAAGATCAAGCGCGCACTTATGCAATGATAGGATGCGCTGACCCTCAAGACAACAAAGCTTTTGATGGTCACTTCATAAGTTAACTTGACTGCAATTAGTTGACTTGAATGTGTTTCCCATGTGCCTATTTGTGTGCATGTGTTTTGAGTGGACATTAGATTAACAAATTTAGGGGACGAAATTCTTGTAGGGGGGAGAGAAATGTAATGACTCGAAAACCAGCTTCGTAGTGACCCGTTATTTTTATAGAAATAAATGTAATATTTTATTATATTTATAGTAAAAATTATGAAATATTTGTAAAGTTGACAGATTTCGATATCTTGGGTCGGTAATCCAGGCTGATGGGGAGTTAGATGTGGATGTTGGACATCCCTGTTGGAGTGGCTTGGGCCAAATGGCGGTTAGCTTCAGGAGTGTTGTGTGATCCGAAGATTTCGCCTAGACGGAAAGGTAAGTTCTATCGATCCGTAGTCAGACCTGCTATGTTATATGGGGCAGAGTGTTGGGCGGTTTAGAAGACTCATGTGAGTCGTCTGCATGCGGCGGAGATGCGGATGTTACGATGGATGTGTGGGAAGACAAGGTTGGATAGGATTTTGAACGAAGTTATCCGACGTCAGGTAGGCATGGCACCGGTGGAAGATAAGTTGCGGGAAGCGAGGTTGAGATGGTTTGGCCATGTGAGACGGCGGGATGCTGACGCCCCTGTACGGAGATGCGAGAGGATTACGGTTATCGGGGGAAGTAGGGGAAGGGGTGGACCTAGGAAGAATTGGAAAGAGGTGATTAGACAGGATTTAGGACTTCTTGACCTGACTAAGGATATGGCCCTAGATAGGAACCTTTGGAAAACTAGGATTAGAGTAGCAGGATAGGAGCTCGATGTTGTAGAGGTTGTTTTGTAGTGTGTTGTATTGTTGGGAAGCTTCTGCTTTTGCTTGTACTAGTTGCTTGTACTTGGTGCTTTATCTGTGCTATACTGTGTTCCCTTCCATATTTTTGTGCAGGTGGAGCCCGGGGTTTCTTGGAAACAGCCTCCCTACTTCCGAGTAGGGGCAAGGTCTGCGTACACACACCCTCCCCAGACCCTACTGATGTGGGATTTAACGGGGTTGTTGTTGTTTGTTATTTGTAAAGTTGACCTTTTATGTAAAAATTACATTTTTGGGTAAATCTCGTAAAATGATGACCAACAGTTTGTTAAGTATGGACTTACGTGAAAAGCATGATACAGTTTGGGACAGTTTCATCCCACCATAATCTTTTGAATTGCTTGGTCGAAGTCCCTTTCACAAAAGAGATAGCATAGTTAGGTACCAATGGCTTCCCAAAAGGCAAATACACTCTTTCGACATTTGGATCCAACTCAACCTTATTGCCAACCACGCGAACACCAGGTAAATCTCTGAAATTTGTGCCCTTCCTCTTTGGAACATGGCATACACGTTGATAATCGTCTTCATTCAACTATAATGGACAATGATCGTACAAAACTTGTCCAAGCACACCATCTCACCCAAGTCTTATAAACCGCTGAAAATCAGTTTTTTGATCATCAACATAATGCATCTCTTCTCTAACCTCAGTATTCTCAACCTTACGAAATCGGAAATGGCATCTTCAAGAAAGAGTGCGTCCTTTAGGTTGACATCATGGTTTTCATAATCAACATTGTTGCACTCAAACTCTTTGGAAATGACGCCTCCCTCTACTATCAACTTTGTAGGCTGGCAAAGGAAATTGTGGCAGCTTCTCTCCTTGAAGGGCACCCCACAAAAAGACACGCATGCGAAATTGTGAGAGGCCATATGCTCCACCTGCAAGCATACCCATCCGTGCCTGATAATTCATCCCTACAAGCCGGCTTAAAGCATATCTCCCAAAAAACCCACTTGGAAATTTTAAAAGATCAACAACATTCTCCATCAACACAAACTTTGGCCTTAAAAAATCAACCAAATCCATATAAGTTTTCATTTGCTCACTTTTTGGATCCTCCAAAGAATTCTTAAAGTCCCTAAATCGATTGAAGCCACTTATTCCTAGACAAGGTGGACCGCCGCAAATAACATCAACATGTCCTGGTAGAGGCGGTCTTTTTTCTTTAAAGCCATTGACAACAAATTCTTTGATCTTTTGAGGGAAACCACCTTTTGAGGGAAACCACTTAATCCCTCTATTGGTTCCCATGTGTCATAATCATCATCATACCCCTTCCAATGTATCTTAAAATATAGGCCAGACTTTCTACCACCATTAGGCTTTCTGTAACAAATATCCAAAATATGGTCAACCTCATACACTTCACCTCCATTATCATCATCATCATCATCATCATTATCATCATCATCATTGCTCTCTTCTTCTTCCTCATCACTTGTTGACATATCCAAATTAGGGTGAGGGGAGCAGTTGCTTGTTATCAACATACAAGAGGCACAAAGCCGCTGACATTCTTTTAAAAGGGCCAAAAATGTATCAGATGGCACATTCATCACATTTGTCTCTGAGTGATTTAGTCTTAAGCTATCACATGCAGGTCCATTCATATCAACAGCCCATTTTGTAACCAAATTAACATTGCAACTATTTGCTCCTAAACATAGTCCTATGGACATTCCGCCACAACCAGAATAAATATCCAAGACCGTTTTCTCTGAATTAAGCTCTCTAACTTCTACCCCATCGGACTCACTAGAGATTGTGGAAGTGGACACATCGGCAGCAGTGAAATCGTGTGGCAGGTTCAGAAATGTGGAGCAAGGAACAACATACATCATATCACAATAAAAATCAGATTCATGTGGAATTATATCCCTTAAAAAATATTTTCCATTGTATGGTATGCAATGTATGCTGACTTTTTTTACAAGGGAGTCAACGTTATTATCGTCCTTGATTTCAGAAAAGAATACACGACGAGGGTCAACAAACTGATCACATGATGTGATGACAGTCTCCTTGGCTCTATAATACCATTGTGCTGTAAAATAGCACACACCATCACCTGCTTCAAACATTTCTATAATTTTACAAATAAAGTTATCTTCACCCTCACCAGCTATAACACCCCAACTCGAATAACCTGATGATCTAGATTATTTGAGCCGGAGTAGTTACCATGATGGTAATTACGCATGATAATTTGAGGAATAATTGAAAACCAATTAAATATTAATATATATGATAAATTCAAATATTAAATTTCAGAGTAACGTTGAAACAGTGCGGAAGCTTAAATATAAAACATAATTAAGTCGTATTACATTTTATGGGAACTCGACCGAAAAGGTATTAATTAAAATAAAGCATAGTAGTTGTGGTCCACCAGTCCGTACATCAACATGTCATGGTACATCTCATCACTCTCATTGACCTTCGGGATGGGCTCCATGTTCAGTATTATTACCTGCGTGTAGCAAGTACTATGCTTTACTTGCTACACGGACTGGTGGCCCACAACTACTATGCTTTATTTTAATAAATACCTTTTCGGGCGAGTTCCCATAAAATGTAATACGACTTAATTATGTTTTATATTTAAGCTTCCGCACTGTTTCAACGTTACTCTGAAATTTAATATTTGAATTTATCATTTATATTAATATTTAATTAGTTTTCAATTATTCCTCAAATCATCATGCGTAATTACCATCATGGTAACTACTCCGGCTCAAATAATCTAGATCATCAGGTTATTCGAGTTGGGGTGTTATAGCTGGTGAGGGTGAAGATAACTTTATTTGTAAAATTGTAGAAATGTTTGAAGCAGTTGATGGTATGTGCTATTTTATAGCGCAATGGTATTATAGAGCTAAGGAGACTGTCATCACATCATGTGATTAGTTTGTTGACCCTCGCCATGTATTCTTTTCTGAAATCAATGACGATAATAACGTTGACTCCCTTGTAAAAAAAAAGTCATCATACATTGCATACCATACAATGGAAATTCTGTTTCAAGGGATATAATTCCAACTGAATCTGATTTTTATTGTGATATGATGTATGTTGTTCCTTGCTCCACTTTTCTGAACCTGCCACACAATTTCACTGCTACCGATGTGTCCACTTCCACAATCTCTAGTGAGTCTGATGTGGAAGTTAGAGAGCTTAATTCAGAGAAAACGCTCTTGGATATTTATTCTGGTTGTGGCGGAATGTCCATAGGACTATGTTTAGGAGCAACTAGTTTCAATGTTAATTTGTTTACAAAATGGGCTGTGGATATGAATGGACCTGTATGTGATAGCTTAAGACTAAACCACCCAGAGACAAATGTGATGAATGTGCCAGCTCATACATTTTTGGCTCTTTTAAAAGAATGACAGCAGCTTTGTGCCTCTTGTATGTTGATAACAAGCAACTGTTCCCCTCACCCTATTTTTAATATGTCAACAAGTGATGAGGAAGAAGAAGAGAGCAATGATGATGTTGATGATGATGGAGGTGAAGGTGAAGTGTATGAGGTTGACCATATTTTGGATATTTGTTACAGAAAGCCTAATGGTGGTAGAAAGTGTGGCCTATATTTTAAGATACATTGGAAGGGGTATGATGATGATTATGACACATGGGAACCAATAAGTGGTTGCCCTCAAAAGATCAAAGAATTTGTTGTCAATGGCTTTAAAGAAAAAAGACCGCCTCTACCAGGACATGTCGATGTTATTTGCAGCAGTCCACCTTTTCTAGGAATAAGTGGCTTCAATCGATTTAGGAACTTTAAGAATCCTTTGGAGGATCCAAAAAATGAGCAAATGAAAACTTTCATGGATTTGATTGATTTTTTAAGGCCAAAGTTTGTGTTGATGGAGAATGTTGTTGATCTTTTAAAATTTCCAAGTGGGTTTCTTGGGAGATATGCTTTAAGCCGGCTTGTAGGGATGAATTATCAGGCACGGATGGGTATGCTTGCAGGTGGAGCGTATGGCCTCCCACAATTTTGCATGCGTGTCTTTTTGTGGGGTGCCCTTCAAGGAGAGAAGCTGTCACAATTTCCTTTGCCAGCCCACAAAGTTGATAGTAGAGGCGTCATTTCCAAAGAGTTTGAGTGCAACAATGTTGATTATGAAAACCATGATGTCAACCTAAAGGACACACTCTTTCTTGAAGATGCCATTTCCGATCTTCCTAAGGTTGAGAATACTGAGGTTAGAGAAGAGATGCATTATATTGATGATCCAAAAACTCATTTTCAGCAGTTTATAAACTTGGGCAAGATGGTGTGCTTGGACAAGTTTTGTATGATCGTTGTCCATTACAGTTGAATGAAGACGATTATCAATGCGTATGCAATTTTCCAAATAGGAAGGGCGCAAATTTCAGAGATTTACCTAGTGTTCGCGTGGTTGGCAATAAGGTTGAGTTGGATCCAAATGTCGAAAGAGTGTATTTGCCTTCTGGGAAGCCATTGGTACCTAACTATGCTATCTCTTTTGTGAAAGGGACTTCGACCAAGCCATTCAAATGATTATGGTGGGATGAAACTGTCCCAACCGTTGTCACCAGGGCTGAGCCTCACAATCAGGCCATTTGGCACCCTTTCCAAGACCGAGTTCTCACAATCATAGAAAACGCCGGTTACAGGGATTTCCTGATTACTACAAGCTTTGTGGCTCCATCAAAGACAAGTACACACAAGTGGGAAATGCAGTTGTTTTTCTAGTTGCCAAAGCTTTAGGTTACTCATTAGCTGTCTCATTCAAAGGCTTGTCTGAAGCAGCCGCCATGTTTACATTGCCCGAAGGATATGGCGCGATTCAAGAGCTACCAGCTGATCAAACCACTCCTTCCGAATTTCCATAATGAAGTTTTGAAGGTTATTATTGATTGCGCTATGGAATACAGTTTTTTAAAGTAATTATTCTTTTCTTCTCTGCATTTGGACAAGTTAAAAAAACTCATTGTTGCAGTAAAATTTAGTTTGCTGCGGTGTGAAACATTTCATTGCTAAATTTGTAATATTATTCCCCATTATTATGACATCGACAAACCAAACATTGTATCGCTATTCAAATACTTTAAGCCTGATCAAACCAACTTGTTTTTTTAGGGCATCAAATATATGTGCAAATGCAATATTCTGTGTTTGGGTGGGTTGGAGTTTCATAGTGCGTGACTTGGGAAGAATAGGAAACTTCCTATATATTGTTATAATTATATTTTTCAAACTTTATTTTTATTTGTTGAACTGTATCATGCTTTACACGTAAGTCCATACTTAACAAACTGTTGGTCATCATTTTACGAGATTTACCCAAAAATGTAATTTTTACATAAAAGGTCAACTGTACAAATATTTCATATTTTTTACTATAAATATAATAAAATATTACATTTATTTCTTTAAAAATAACGGCTCACTACGAAGCTGGTTTTCGAGTCGTTACATTTCTCTCCCCCTTACAAGAATTTCGTCCCCAAAATTTGTTAATCTAATGTCCACTCAAAACACATGCACACAGATAAGTGATTTGCAGTATAAAACGGGCAAAACTAACAACTAAAAAGAACCCTTGTAAGTAGGGTGTCGAACCTCAGGGAGACGTGAGTTAATTTAATTTTAACAAAAGTTTACAAAAGAAGTTGTAAAATATTTTTTGGTCTTTTTGGTTTTAGAGATAAAATAAAAAAGTGTAAAAAGAGAGAGTTCCGAACAACACAAAGTTTTTGATGATAAAAAGTTAGGGGTAGAAATTGGTAAATTAATTGTCCAATGTTTTTATAAAACTAGGATTGTCAATTTATTTTTATATAGAATGTGTGGGGTTGTAGAAAAGTATTTAGGAACGCTCTCGCAGTTGACCTAAATAATAACTACTCCGACTTTAACACGCTAATGATAAATCCGGAGTAATTATTTAGTAACAACGGCAACCATAATTATTTTATTTTATGTTTACCCAATTTAATGGTGTAGAAATACAACTCAATAATTATGTCCACCCAAAAGTCTTCAATCCCAGTTAAAGGTACAGAAGGCTTACAGTTTATTTAAAAAGTGTTCTATGTTATGATTATATCAATTTTAGCTCATATTCCTTGTAACAATTATGTTTATGATTGGGCGATTGATTAAAAATCACAAACATTCCAAATTTATTTATTTTTAAATACAACATCTAAATAAAATAAAATTAACAATCCATATTAAAATATTCAAAATATTAAGATGGACAATTAATTACAACAACTTCTAACCCCAATGGAATTTAGAAGTACATAGTTTGAAACTTAAACAAATACATATTTATTACAAACATAAAAATCTTACAAAATGGAAAATGTGTTCTTGAGCACCAAATACGATAAATGATGATGAAGATGGAGTAATTTTTATGTGTTTGGATGAAGAAAGTGGTGAGATATTAGTGATGGAGGAGGAGAATTTCGGATTGGAGAGAGAAGAGAAATGGGGGTTCCAACCTCTTAGAAGAAGAGAGGAGATGGAATTTTATAGATAAATTCGTATTTACGGAGTATATACAAATAGTAGTATAATATGTCTTAACATCTCCTGTAGCGCACATGGAAATGCAGCTTGTTGTTGTGCATAGAGGTGGACATGGTACCGGTACGGTACCGTCACCGGCAACGGTACCACCAGTACCCGCCATTGTCACCGGCGTTGTCGCTGTGTCACCGGTTTCGGGAACCGGTACCGGTTTCGCCACTTTCGGTACTAGTTCCGGTACCGGTACCGGTTCCGGTACCGGTACTGGTCCGGTTCCGGTACCGGTTAATTTTTTTTTGTTCATTTGAAATCCTGCAAAAAGTTAAAAAAAAAGTGGGGGGCACACCTCAAACGG